CTTGTGGTGGTTGGAGGCGGCGTGGAAGTGGAAGGCGCGGGCTTTGGAGGTGGGAGCGCGGCAGGCGGCGAGGCGGCGAGCTTTGGAGGTGGAGCGGACGGCGGGGAGGAAGGAGGAGGGGATGTCGTGGAGGTGGAGGTGGAGGGCGCGGCGGCGTCTGCTGCGGGAGTGGCATTGGGGCGCCTGGAGGTGGCCGGCGCGGGCGCGGAGGCCGCCATCTGTCTGTCTGTCTGTGTGTATGTCTATCTATCTAGGTTGGGGGATTTGACACGGAAGGATGGAAGGAAGGTGGGTAGGTTCTCTGAAATCGGAGGTGAGGGAGTGCTGCTGCTCTGAGGTTGGGAAGAAGAAGATGAGGAAGAGGGAAGCGGGGGGATAGATCCGGCGGGCAGCACCCAATCCTTTTCAGTGCGCCATGGAATCAGAGGGAGAGAGAGAGAGAAAGAGAGAGGGAGGAAGATGAATCCAATCCCATTCCCTTCTTTTGCCGCCGCTGCTGCTTTATTATTTACAGACACACTCCTCTCTTTCTTTCCCCTGCCTACACTCCTCTCTTTATTCACAGAGAGAGAGGGCCAGGATCACGCCGTCGGGAGTCCGGGTCAGAGCCGTCATCCACGTCCTGATCCGTGGATCAGTTGTGATGCTTTCCGGCAGCGTAGGCAGTAGGATGGAGTAAATGCAGCTGCCTACTACTGCCCGGCTGCTGTTCTTGTTTTGTTGAGAGCGGTGATCTCTTTAGGGTTAGCTCCTCTCTGCTTCGACGAACATGGACTTCTTGATGCAGCGGATCTGGCTGTGGATGTGGTTGTTCGCCCGCATTTTCGCTTCGGATTTCCTAAAGATCTAACTTTTTATGCCGGCGTTGTATGCGTGCAGCAGAACGCTTTTGGAGGAGGTGAACGACAGGGACATAGAAAAGATTGACCCCAAGGCTTCTGGGTGGACGCCAAGGTATGCATTTTGGGCTACCACAAGTTCAGTTGGAAATGAATTCTCCTACCTACTCCCTTCGTCCAGAAAAAACTTGTCCCTCAAATGAATGTATCTAGCACCAAGTTAGTGCTAAATACATCCATTTGATAGACATGTTTGGGACAAGCTTTTCCGGACGGAGGGAGTATATTATTAGATAGCAACTGAATCTGTAGGTGAAATTAGTACGCACATATATTCAGTTGCAATAACTCTCAAAATGTAAAAGGTCTATGGGATTGTAAACGTTTATGGTAGAATTCAGTTACCAGGTTGGTAGCTGTTACCCCCCTATGAGGTACACGGGAAAATATCTAGTGCTACCATCTATTAGGTGATACGGTGATACAAGGCTGTATGGAGCGTTAGATATACAGGAATGGACTGGATCAGTTTGCTCAGCTGTTTACATATGGCCCCAGTAACATTTGCATCTTGGCCCCCAAAAGAAGTATGTGTCGGTCAAAACTCCTGTCACATGTCTCTCTTTCAAGCCACCGTTTCTTAGGAAATATGTTGTTAAAGAATGCAATCACTAACCCCAGGTGAGAATGATCGTCAGAACATATAGATATAACCAGTAAAATCAACGGTATTCACTTTCAGCACATATTCCTACAAGCAAGCAACACTCATAAAATTTTCCAAAGTTCCAACACAGTAGAACAAACATCCCTTTGCCACATTCTACAGTTTGTTCTATTACAAAGTGAAGCAAAACTAACTGTTCTGGTTCCAAATATAAGAAACAAAACTTGGCAAAATAAAAGAGATTCCACAATACTAGTAATGCCTTCAGATATAAAAGCTTGTTGTTGTCCAGTAAAGCAAACCAGAGCGGTACAATCTTCCAGATTGACAAAACACAGTGCAACGCTTGCCATGAAATTGCACATATATGTAACAGTTATAGTTCAGATTTGCTAAGTTAAACAGGGTGCTACTCCTAAACCTAAAAGGCATATATTACAACTCTTGTCAACTGCTAACGCAGACGATTCCCCTAATTACACAGCAAGAACACTAAAAGGAAGCTGTTTCTGCTCCGGAATCGCTAGACCTAGCCATTTGGTCATTTTGCATGTTTCTCAATGTTGAAAGCATGCACATCATAGATTGGAA